TCCTCCTCTATCAGGGGTGGTCATCCTCTTTCAATGTGCAGCTTCAGGAGGGACGCACATGGATCGTTGAGGGAGGAAGGGGACACCCGCCTAGCCAGCCAGATTAGCCAAATCAACCCTGGAGATCAGCGGGGTGACATGGCGCAGCCAGATCGCCCTCACATCCAGCTGTGAGATTTTTGAGGGGAGCTCTGGTTTTTACCTTCAGTGTTGCCTCCTGGCCCCACTACAGACCCCTCAGCCCGCTGGCACAGGTCCTTCATCCCACTGGCACAGACTTTCTAGCTTCCACCACTGACTTTGGGCCTTCCCAGCACAGATCTATGAAACATGCCTGCATGAGTTACTATCATGGGATCTAGGCCTCCAGTTGGACTCATGCGAGGCATCGTCATGAGTTCTAGGTCTTCAGTAAACTCAAGCAAGTCATTACTGTGAGATTTAGGCCCTCAGCTGGAGTCTTGGTTCTTTAGTGTGTGGACAGATTTCCAGAACTCTGTATATGTTTCTTTGGGTGATTCATTGTAAAATGATCTTACAAAATATATGTCCCATATTGTATTGTTTCCCTTGCAAAACCCCAAACTACAAAAACTTGGTACCAAGAGTAGGGTTATTGTTGTGCTGTTGCCTGGCCATGGGACTTAAGGGCCTTTGGAATTAATTTGGAAAGGTTTTGAGAGACTGGCCAAAGAGGCAGCCCCGGTATGCGGTAAACTATATTGGAGACTCTGGATGGAGCCTGGAAAATCACAGTAATAACAGAAATGCTGCTGGTTAAGGTGAAACTCAGGAGGCTTCAACTGAGAACTACATTGCCTGCTGGACTCAGGTGGTTTATTGTGCATTGGCAGAAATTTAGTTTGCATTTTGCTTGTGTTTAGAGATATTTCCTAGGTAGCAAAAGAAAAATTTCAGAGCAATCTACTGTTGGGAAGGTGGCATGGCTACTATTGAGAGCTTTTGGTGAGATCTATGTTTGAAATTAAGAGTAAAGAGCCAGTAAGGTGATAGGAAACATTTGGCCGGGGGAGGCTGTATGGAGCCAGGTAGCAGTGCTCAAGGTGAGGGCCAGAGCCCCCCTCAGATGAATGTAGGCATTCTCAGCAGCAACAACGTCCTGCGCTCCTTTGACTATGAGAGCAGTGAAATTCATGAAAAAAGCCCTGGGCCGGGGAGATAGCTCAGTAGAATAAGGGCCTACCTGCAAGCGCAAGGGCCTGAGTTTATTCTTTTTATTTTATTTTTATTTTTTACAAACTTGAAATATTTTAATACCTCCAGAAGTAGCATATAGGAAATAACAAAGAGCATAATTCAAAAGGCAAGAGAAGTTGCAGTATGCTCCTGGATGAACAATAGAGAGCTCTCAATATGATAGTTATGCAGGACTATATAAAAGATATATTAGATGAACCCTTATTTAAAGGTCATTGCAGATTTCTATGAAACAGTACCATTTTTTTTTTTTTTTGAGCGCACTGGGGAAGACACTCCATTTATTGTGTGGCTTGGATGCTGCCCTCTAGAGGACAGGTTTGTTCTCAAACCTGCGTGAGGGAAACAGGGTGGTGGCAATCAGGAGATGTAGTTGGACACCTCAATCACGTTTCTGTCTGCGTCTTGGAAGTAGGTGGACATAATCGGCCCTTTTGCCCCTGTCCTGGGGACTGGGCCCTCCTCAATGGGGACATCAAAAGCTGTGAGGCGCTGGATCATCTCCTCCAGAGGTGCCTCTGTAATCAGGCAGATGTCCAGGGAGCCAGGCAACGGGTGGATGGCTTTGGGTTCAAATTCCTTTCCCATCTCATGGAGGTTAAATTTCTGGTCTCCCAAACATAGTGCTTTCCGATTTCCCTTGAATGTTGTCACTTCCACGCATAGGACCTTGGAGTAGAACATGGCGGTATCCTCTGTGCTCTTCACTGTCATCACAATATGGTCCAGTTTCTGGATAAGGCACAGGAGGGCATCTGACTGCTGTTTCTCCAGGACTGAGTCCCCGCAGTCCCACTCCACAGCCTGGCGGGCAGCCGGCGCAGCATGGCAGGGCAGTGGCGGTGCTGGGACCTCCGGGCTGCTGAGGCTCCGGGCCCAGGTCAAGGGGCAGGCGAGGGAGGGTGGGCCTGGCCGAGGTAGGTGGTTAGGTCCAGGGACTCTGACCTAAACCTCGGGCCTGAGGGGCTGGGGATGTGGCTCCTCATAGAGCGACAGCCCCACAGGCACCAGCCCTGGTTCCGTTCCAGCATCACCAGATCAAACAAAAACTTCTACGCCTCAAGGCGGGTTCAGGGCCCCAAGGTGAGACTGGAATTCTTGAAGGAGTAAGGTTAGGTCCTCCCTGTCCCCATCGCCCTGCACCTCGGTCACCTGGGATTCTAACAGTACCGATCTTATGGTGGGTTATACATGTATTTTTTTTCCATATATATGTGTGTATGTATGTATAAAAGACAGGGAAGAAGTAATATAAAGTCAACAGAAGATGGAAATATACTTTTTAAAGTTTCTAATACTAGAAGATATTATACAATGTCTTTCAAATAAATTGTAAGTCAAAGATATAGTATAAATCTTAGAACAAAAATTAAGATTAAGCAATATTCAGAAAATTAAATACTAATTAAAAATAAAATGTTTTGAAACAGTTGAACTAAGGAAAAGTTTTCATGAGAGCAAAGAAGTACTAAGAGTAAAACGTAAGATAAATACTGGAATGGCAAATAAATGACCAGCACTTCTAACAGTTTGAAGATAGGATATTGCATAAAGTTCTAGTGTGTTGTGGACATGCATAATGAAGGTCCTGAGTTTAATCCCTGGTTCTGGAAAAAAAAAAAAGCCCCAACATGACAAGCTTCTCTGAGAAAACCAACAGCTCCCAACAGCCTCCAAAACAGTTTTCCTAACAGTTTCTCTTTTTGTGTTTTTCTTTAGCTCTGTGTTTCATGTTGTTGGCCAGAATCCTCAGGTGGGCTCCCACACCCAGCATGATGCTGGTTCAGTTCAGCTGGCCATTACAGGTTGACTATCAGTACTCAATCCACCACACTATAATTTTTATTTTTTATTTTTTAAGAAATATTGAGGGGCCGGGGAGATGGCTCAGTGGAATAAGCGCTTCCCTGGCAAGCACAAGGGTCTGAGTTCAATCCCTGGTTCTGGAAAAAAAAAAAAAAAAAAGAAAGAAAGAAAGAAAGGAAGGAAGGAAGGAAGGAAGGAAGGAAGGAAGGAAGGAAGGAAGAAATATTGAGATGAGGTTTCACAGTTGCCCAGGCTGGTCTCAAACTTGTGATCTTTTTGTCTCAGTCTTCTGAGTGGTTGGGATGATAGGTATGCACCACCACACCTGGCTGAGAATTTACATGCCTTTGGGTGCACTTTTAGAAGTTCTTCACTGAAAGAAAGCCTCCCTTTTTATCTTGATTCCCTTCTTAGTGAATTTTTTTGAAGTGATGTTGCTCCAGGTGCAATGGGTTCTGTAGCCCTTGGACACTGGACATACTGGTATATGGTCCGGGAGCGTGTGTGATCAGCTTGGAGGCTCAGGTGTCACCATCGTTTGAGGCCCAGTGCTTTGTGGAGGCACAGGGATATCACTGGGCCACACTGCTGGGTGATGCTGCCTGGCCTCTGAGCACTGGGGCCGTTCTGTTCACGGAGCCTTCCTCTGTATAGCAACTGGCCAACCAGTTCTCCTTGTCTGCGACCCCCTAAAATTAGCTGGGTAAGCTGCATGGGCTGCTGTTTCTTTAACCCCAGCATCACACTCTCTGAATGCCTTATCTACTAGTTCCAGATGGCTTAGCAGCTTTGCAGCAGGTACTTAGCAGGTGTGCTTGGCAGGTGTTCATCCAGCGTGCTCAGCAAATGCTTAGTTTCTCAGCAGGTATGTGGAGGGAGTCTGATACCTGTGGCAGGAGCATGGTGACCAGTGTGGTGGTCAGGCAGGAAAGGCCTGGCACCCTGCCTGACATCTCGGCCACCAATATGATGGCCAGAAAGTTGGGTCTGTATTCCTACTGTGATGAGTTACCAAGTCAAGTAATACATAAATAATTTATTGTGCTTATCTCTCTGTGACTTTACTTCCTTGTGGAACCACAAGGAGGCACAATGTACCTTAGAAAAGCCAACAACAGGTAAAACATGTGCTTGCACAACAAGTCAAAGTTAAGGTCTGCTTGTTCTAGGCTGTAAAAAATGACAAGGTTGTTTGCCAAACAGCATGTGGTTTTTAGCCTTAAAACCTTCATACTTTTAAGGTTCATCGCCGTTTTGTCTTCTGCATGAATATGGTCAAGCGGTCCCAGGCCAGGTAATGAGGGCTTATATTTAAATTTTAAATTTAGACTCTGGTCTGGTTTCTATGTTGAGAACCCATAACACCTACTTTTCTAGGAGAATTCTAGCCATGTCTCAAATTCTTGGGTCCTGCAGTGAGTTGGGGCAAGACTCCTGGGTCAGGGTTCATGTGTCTGAAGTTATTATGTTTATGAAAGAACTAAGAATGAAAAGGGAAAAGTCTGGATCAGTCTTTCTTTATGTTTGTTCATTCATTATTTTTGATTTTTATTTATGCTGTGAAGACATAGCCAGTGTACCCTTGGTTATAATGCTGAGGGTAACCTAACTTTATGGCAGAGAATGCTATGAAATTCTAGAACATGCCAGACTGGCTGTAAGCAATAGCCTGGCCCCCCTTGCAGCTTAACTGCAGGTGCCCTACTGTGGTGAAATGAACTCTAGCTTTGGCAGAGTAGTTGGTGTCAGGAGCAGAATTTTGAGCACTGTATTCCTTACACCCAGCAGGGCTGGTGCAGGCCTTGCCTGTGAGTTCGGTTCTCACTTCACAAGGAGGGCTCATGCCAGGCCAGACAAGGCCTGTAGAGTGTTCTACCTGGGGCTGAATCCCTGATGGGAGTGGAGGTAACTAGTGGCTGTTTATCTGCAATAAATGTCACAACTATAGTCATCATATGTGTACTTTATGTTTGCAGATTGAAGATGGAAGAACCCCTGGAGATTGCCTCCACTGGTGGCTGTGAGGGGGACATAGTGACAGAAAAATACGTGGTCGACTCCAAGGCATGTGCTTCTCACGTGCAGCTGGCGTGCAGTGCACAGTTCTGCGCCTTTCCTGTAGGTGGAAGCCAGCTTGGCCTGTGGGACTGCAGGGCTCCTTCACGCCAGGTAGCTACCAGGCTGTGGGGCGTGAAGCTCTCCCCGTCTGCATTTCTGCGACAAGGCTCTGCCCTGTCTGCATTGCTATGATGCTCTTTAGGCAGCATTCCTTCTGTGGATTCAGCTGCCAACTATGGGAGAAAAGTGGTGATAACACCGTTACATTAAGTTCTCATCTTTATAAGTACTGCCTGCTAACAGATTGCCCCACTGAAGTGTTTTAAGTTCTTAGCTTTAGAAAATAAACTTCCTGGAATTTCTGTACTTAAAAAGATCTCTGATAAGAGCGTGAGCAAGAGAAGTTTTATCGTAACACAGTCAAGACTTCCCCATTTCCATCTCCACGTTGCCCTTCTCTGCAGTGAAGCAGAGCATTTAAGAGAAAGACCTCTTCATGCAGTGCACGCTGGCCACAGCCCAGGCCTGGCTCCTTGCCTCGCACCCCGGGTGGCCCCATCCTGACTTCCAGGGTGCTCTTGCTGAGCAGTGTGTAAGTGGGGTTGTGCGCCTTGCACATTTCCAGCTGGGGCCTCTCACACCCAGTGTTGTGTTCACAAGGCTCATGTCGCTTCTTTGTCACTGCTGCATAGTACATTCTTGGAATAGACCTGAGTCTGTCTGTCCTAATGGCAGGAGACATTTAGATTCCATTCTGTGGTTGCTACATATATTCCTTTGCATATCTCATGGTGTATGGACACGTGCTATTGCTGAGTTTCAGGGGTGTTCTCCAGTAGTAGGCAGTGCCAAGCAGGTCTGCCAGGGATGGTGCCAGTTGAGTTGTACAGATGGTAGGTAGAGCGTCGTGCCTCTCAACCTTGCTGGCACTGAGCCCTTTCATTTGAGTTGTGTTGGTGGGCAGGGGAAGCTCATGCTACCTGACTGACCTTTGCAGTTTCTTAATACTTGATGGTGAGTGAGATTCCCCACCCTTTTGCATAGCTACTGGCCATTTAGATATTTGCTTTTGTCATGTGTATGTTGCTGGTGTCTCTTGTCATTTTCCTACTGAACATCTGTACTTTTCCTGTTGACTTGAAGAAGTTTTTCAATGTGTTATAAATAATGAAAACTTCCTGTCAGTTTAGATTGCAATTTCAGAATTATTATTTTGAGATTTACATCATCTTTTTTTAATGTTAAAAGAGACTAGGAGGGTAACAAAGGTTAACACCTTGCATATTTTAATCTTCAAATTAGTTACTTAAAGTACATGATATCAGCATGTAATTGTCCAAACAATGTTAGCACAGACCTCTCATTTCAATGAACTAAGAGAAATTAGTAGTATAACTATGTTAACTAATATATATGTATATGTGTGTATATATATATGTATATATATATTTTTTTAATTTTTGCTTTTCCCTTCCTTCTTTTCTTCATTTCCCATCCCAGGTTCTCCTCCTTTTTGAAGTTTCTTCCCACCTCTGAATATCTGTCGTGCATCATTTGGATCTTATTTGCTACATCAGCTTCTCACACAGTGGCGACATCACCCATGTTGTTGCATTTATCAGCAGATCCTTTCTTTTTGTTGTTGTAGTTTTTACTCTGGAGGGCCATCCCATTCTATGATATGATATATCTCATTATTCATTTTCTTATTGGAGGGCCGGGGAGATGGCTCAGTAGGATAAGCGCTTGACCAGCAAACGCAAGGATCTGAGTTCAATCCCCGGTTCCGCAAAAAAAAAAAAAAAAAAAAATAAAAAAAAAAAAAAAATAAATTTTCTTATTGGTGGGTATTGAGGTTATATTTAGTTTTGAGCTATTACCGGTCAAATGGATGTGGATTTTTATGTTTGTGTCCTTTGCTTTATAAGTATCGGGTGGCTCACACTAACTGTTCCTCAGGTCTCCTATATTCTTGTTGATTTTATGTCCATTTATTCTATCAATTACTGAGATTTGTTTGTTTATTGAGACAGGGTCTTATTATGTGGTGCAGGCTGGCCTTGAACTCATGGTGTGGCTTCGGCCTCAGCCGCCTCAGCGCCGGGATCATAGGCATACATTATCGTGCCTGGCTTGAGAGAGATGCATTTAAATTTGTGACTTTGTGAATTAGTCAGTTTCTGTTGTCCTAAGATTTTGTTCCATGCATTTTTAAAAGTATTTAAACCCTCTGCCATTAGCTTATTGGTATCGTCTGGGACTCAGATGCTCAGGATTCCTCCTAAAGTTACAGAAACAAATGTAAATGGAAAGAATCCAAGTTAAAATTATATAACAAAACAGCACTCTACCACAAAAGTATCACAAAATCACGAACTCTATTTTAAAACACTGACACTTTAAAAATGAAAATCTCAAAGCCCACAAAAATTGCCAAATTTGTCCCTAAACTGCTGAGCAGATAAACATGACCCCAGAGAGTTTTGTAAAGAAAGACTCAAATAAACTGGGAAATTCATACTAAGATGTGAAGCTCGTATTTTTTTTTCTCATGTCTAAATGGGAGATCCCAGTGTAGAAAATCTGTCCTCTTCTAATTTGTGGCCACCTTCAACACTTTCACCAGAGTCCAGCTTCCTGAGTAGTCCGTATTTAGACAAACGGGCCCAGGCAGCCAGCACTTGCGCTGTCCTTGCTGTGAGTGCTGGCCAGACGCTTGACAATCTTGCATTTTGAGCCCACACTTTTGGGGATGCAGTCTCCGGCCTCCTCTAATGGGGGCACATGGCAGTGGGAGCTGGACTCCTCATGTGAAGGTCAGAGCATCCTTCTTCTACTAGCCCTTCAAGGACAGCCTTTCAGATTGCCGGATTCTAATCACCTCGTGCTGTCTATGAGCAGAACTAATTACTCCTTACAAAGGGCCATGTGAAGTTCTTTATCAGTGAGTGAGATCTTGGAGTTTTATGGATGAAAATGTTCTCAGGTGGCTTTTATTACCCACCACGACCTGCAGGGTGTGCAGACAGAAGCCTGGCACCCACTGGCTGTATGAAAAGATAGACACTAATGATTCATGTGATTCAAAATGGGCAAAAGCAAACTAGCTTCCTTTCAAGAAGAAACATTTCAGTCCTACAGAAAGGACAACAATACTAATAAAGTTGTATTTACTTAGAAGCATTCAGAATGTAAACAAAACAGTTGCAACTTTTTGTTTTTGCGATTACAGAATGGTATTCAGTTAACAGAACAATAATTATTTCCCATAAGCTTCATCAGAGACAGCTGAAGATGAAAAACTACCATCCCCATATATAACTAATTTGTGCTGCACACCAGCAAGAACCTGCTTTACTTTTTTTGTGCCAATTTACAGCCCCCATACAGTACCAGGCGAGGTTAGTGGCTATTGAAAATACCAGGACAGAGCTAAAGACACATTCTGTAGTGTGTCACTTAGACATTGTACAGTTTAAAAACAAATCTTATACAGCCTTACATTTCAATTTTTTCTTTAAAAGTAGTGAGTTGTGTAGAGGGAGGTTAAATCACTTATAAACAGGAAAAAAATGTGCTAGAACCAACTTATTCATTATCCTCCTCCTCTTCATCTTCCTCGTCCTCTACCTCCTCCTCCCCTTCTTTTTCTTGCTTTTTTGTTTTGAAATTCAATATGGTGTCTTTTTAAAAAATTAATGTTATTGAGAAATAAATAGCAATGAGACAGTTTCAAAACTGATTAGTAGGACAATTTCAGTAATTAATACATTGCATATTGTTGTCTTCCTAGTGGCTATTCATAGTACAAGATGCAGACATGGTATCCTGTGCAAACACTATTAGTAAAAATCTTTCTTCTCATTGAATTAAGAGAAAGTAGCTGTATACCTATCTTATTTTGTATATACAGATACAAAATGGTCCTTCATTTGTATCCCCCTTTTTGTTTAGTTTTGTCAGAGATGGGTATTCCATTGCCATTTAAATATTGTAGGTGTGTGAATTCAGCAAAATAAACCAATATAGTCCAGTAGTCCATTATAGTAGTGGGTTATCCATAGGACTGGCAATGTCAGAAGTTGTTGACTTGAGCCTTTTACAGCTCAGTAGATTAATAAGGCTTTACTTTTTATATCTCATTTTTATACTTTTCTGCTGGATGGTTAAGACCAAGATAAAGCAAGACCTATATAGCAAGAAATGTAACTTTTGTATCTGACAAGGTCTGTCAAATACCCTCAGGATTTACCCTGAAACCCAGTACCGCAGTTTGTAGAACCTTTGTCAGTGTCAGCCATGTGGATGAGTCACGGCCATTGCTTGACCAATTTGCTCTCTGTGAAAGCCTGAGAGAATGTTTTCTTTCTAGGTGACTCTCCTTAGGTGCATTATACATTGTCAATCACTTTCCTCTGTGGCCCCATAATCTCCTTGATCAGTAAATTTGGGACACAACTGAGTTACAGGATGTTACAGTACAGGTTCTCCTATGTCCTGAGTCTTGACTGACCTTGAAAGGCCAGGACCAAAATGTTGGCTGGCCTTAAAGCCCTTTTTCTCTAATTTTTGGTCTGCAAACTTAAGTTGTTAGCCATCCAGAAGAGAAGCTTAATGATATGATTACCCTATAACATAGGCAGTTGAGCTTAACCTCACTATCTGTCTGAATATCAAACATCTTAGACATAACATGGAATAGATATTTTCCACCAAGTATTGATATATTAAACTTTAAATTCTTACAGAATATGAAGAAAAAAATTAAAAAATAAAAAATATTTTAAAAATAAGAATAAACAATTATATATTTTTACATAGAAATTTAGAAATCTAACCATATATAATGTGGTAGCAGGACAGTTCTATGACATTTTTGTCTTATCTCTTGTTTTTATTTATTACCTTTTTTTAACATTTACTTGAGAGACAGTATGGCCTTGACCACCCCTTTTTTCACTGCATCAGGTTTTCTTTAGCCCAGCAGGCAGTGGTGTCCTTTCCAAGCTTTTCCCTCAGCTTGGCTTGTCATCTGCTGCAGTACTGTTCCGCATTTCTCCCTGTTTGTTTGCGACATCACTGGTGGAGAGGCCAGGATGTTCTCCTTTGAGTTTTTGGGTGATACTCAGAATAGAACAAGAAGAAGGCTGAAGAGGCCTCTTGGGTGCCCTGGGATCCTTGCTCTTCTGTTTTTATTTTCTTCTTTGGGAGGAACGTAAGCTTTCATTTCTCTTATGACGTTCTTATTTTCTGCCTTTGCCATGTCTTCAAATCCCCCCTTTTTTGCTTGATGAATAAGTTTATTGGTCTTTATCTGAAAAATCTTCACAGAAATTTGGTTTTACTCTCAGGAGCCTGCTCCTGAATTCTGAGGAAGCTTGCCTTCTTTTGAGCTACCTGATCTTTCTTCTGGGCAGGGGACATTTTGGGATGGTTTCTTTCTTTTTTAAAAAATTTTATTTATGTGTGTGTGTGTGGGGGGGGTCAGCTCAGCCCACCAGGGGGCGGGCCTGGCTGGCATGTGGTGCTGGGGGATTGAACCGCGGTCCCTGTGCTTTGCTAAGCTTGTTCTAAGTAGGTGCTTTAGACCACTGAGCCATCTCACCAGCCCAGGGTGGTTTCACCTCTTCTTTTTAACTTCTTTCTTTGGCTTGTTTTCATTGACTGGGTTCTCTCATGTAGCAGCACAAGCTTTCTTAAACATCTCCTTCATCGTTTCTGGAGTCTCACTGTTCTTTATGTACTGAGAGAACTGTTTCTTGTAAGCATCTTTATCTTCTTCCCTTAGAGAGCGCATGTAATCTGTGGCATTCCGACCCATGATGTGCTTCCGATGTACTTCTGCACTGAACTCCCTGCTTTCAGAATCACAGCCAGGGAGTCATCTGGTGCTGTGAGGGATAGACAAGCCTCCGTCCACAGCACCCTTTTGGGCTCCAAAAGCTTTACTGCCGGCTGTAGTTCTGGCAAGGTCTGCAACCAAATAGCAGGTGAAGGCGCCAGGTTTGCCATCAGTGCTGTCCACACTGTGTTCATCTCTCGTCACCTCCACCTGGCCTTCATAGACTTATCCACGCCAAACCTGCCGAGAAGCCTGCGGGCCAGCAGCAGCCAGTACAGCACGCTGCAGCGTCATTTGTTAGGCCAACTTTCACTCCGCGTTTTGGTAGGTCATGTGCATGTGCTGCACAGACTCCCATATTCCCTTCAATGCAGGCATGAGCAATCTGACAGATGACATCTCTGTTAGTTACACGAACTGTCACCCTGTATTTATGTGTGCTCTACTTCTTTTTGTCTTGGATTAGCAAGCGTTTCTTAGCAAGGTAATCAGTCTTGTCCTCTTGTCATCTTCTAAACTTCACTTGGTGTCTCTTTCTCTTTTTTTAAATGTATTTAGTACAGGGTCTGCAGGGTCTCATTACACAAATCAGACTCCTAGTGATCCTGTTTTCAGCCTCCCCGAGTGCTGGGATTACAGGCTTGAGCCACCACACCCTGTCACCTCAGCACACTCCTGGGG